CTCTCAGGATTGGATAATGCTCCCGACACTTAGACATGAAGTAAGCCCCAATAAGTCAACGTGCTTTAACTTTCTGCAGAGTTGCGCCAGCAGTATCTCAGTCCATCCGAAGTGGATCGTGCTATCCAAAAGGTCATTGATGCTCAACTTGACGATGCTCCGCTGCGTGTACTGGACACCACCACCGGTCTCTCATGTGATCGAGAGGCCCAGATATGTATCTTTAAGTCGAGCATAGAGTATAGAGAGCTCGTATCATCGACATTCACGCATCGAGATATTCAAATGAAGGACGTCGAAAAAACGGTGATGTCATACTTCCGTCGAACGGATCGAGATTGGAAACATGGACACGAGAGTCCATGTAAGATAGATCAACGTAGTGATGGCAGACGCACCCTTCGACTGTCACTAAACACTGTGGATAGTGGTTCTAATGAAAATCACTGGAAAATGCTCTGATGCTGAATATTTCAGAGTGACATCCACTGAAATTGCATGCAGTTAATTTCATTGGAGCACTGATTCTGAATTTCAGTGGAAAAATCTACTGAATCAGAATTCAGCACCAATGAGTATGTATTCAAATAAGTACACTCCAATCCTACTAGCATGTAGTTCAGGAGATCGATCTAGTGTGGAGCTGTTATCGGACATCAATGCCTCAGCCACCCAGCTGCGAGTCTCTTGTATATATTGGTGTAATTGTCTGTACATACCAAAGGACTTGTGGCTTAGTGGTAAGAACACTGCGTACAGTTGTATGAGGTCTTTCGTTCAATCCCTGCCAATTGCAAATTATCCTGTGTCACAGGCGGTCGTACTAAGGTGTATATGTAGTCTGGTTCAATAGTTTTGCCCCATTGTCATTCTAGCATGAATTCAGCGCATCATTTCAGAGTAAAATTTCAGAGTAAAAAACGGCAATTTCAGCACCTAATACTCTGAGTTTCAGACCATTATCGTATGATTTCATCCACTGAATTTCACTGGAACTACTATCCACAGTGTAAATGTTAGTTTTAGCGACTTACCAATAATTCACCACTTCCTCATCAAATCATGACGATCATACGAATCAGTTTAGAGCCACTCTTTTGTATGACTTCACTCACAAATCTACGACAATCAGATTTCTTGGATATGAAAAGGACAAACAAGATCTCTAGACGCAAACCGTGATTTCTCAGGGATAGAATTATATGTCAGAATACTACCATTTAAACAGCACTTGTTATTGCACGATCTCCAATCCCAGTGTTCCTCCCCTGCAAAGATATCAGTTGGCAAAAAACACGGTGCTCATCATGGAACTACTGTACAAAACATCCAGTACCCGAGGGATGTTGCTATTCGTCAACCAGATGTTCGCAACAAGAACCGCGTCCGTGGAACCTGGACAAACGTGAAGTTCTTCATATAGCAGATAACCACTTACGCTATATATATAGCTTAGAGTTAAAGTCTACCCCGCAGGTTATTGGTCCAAGTTTGACTCACTGTTGGACGGTCTAGATGACGTCAGCGAGGTTCCCAGCTGGGTCTAATAAACTCTCGAGAAATATTAATCATAAAGTGATCTGTTTAGTACTCGTCTTACACCTCGAAGACCAACAAGTCAGGCCTCGGGACTTAAGCGCTCGTCAGGCACTGAAGCACTCGGAACCGCAGGAGGATATATCAATACTACTCATCCACTTCGACGTGGGGTCGAATAAGTGAGTTAACAGGAGCATGAACAGGGCCACCCCATTCGCTGCAAATTTAGTTAGAATACTCAAATCATCACGAGTACGACAGTCCACTCACAAGGCCCGTCGACATCATGGATGCGGGCGATGAAATACTTTGGTATGGGCCACCGTCGTTCTACATTCACGATGTAGAAATTTCATGGATTGTTTCATCCTCGTCAACATGCATCAATTGTAATTCACGATGGAGATGGTACAGTGTGTTGAGAACAACTGACCGATAACGCAGAACCCAACACATGGTGATTGGGGTCAGAGTATTAGGTAGAGAAAGTTAATGTACCGTAAACAATCACTTGGAAGCTATGATGCACACTTCACTGCATGATTGATAGCGTTCCTGAACACCTGCAGTGACAGGTCAATCATTACATACAGGGTTCGCATAGGCGAGAGTTCGCAGAGGGTAGTAACAATGACGACCGTGTCGCATCACTAGTTGTATAATGCAGAATTCCAATGAAAATGAATTCAGGAGCGAATTGGCGAGGCAGCAAATGAAACCAGTTGGCGGATCTGACGACTCGGATGAGCGACGAGCAGAGCGCTGGGAGTAGAGCTATGACACCTTTGGAAAACATCATGACACGGGTGAGACGCGCACACGCAGATCTTGGAAGTGGATGGGGTGTAGAGGTGGAATTGCCATATGCATGTGTTCAGACACGTTACATGGCAATATACTGGAGTAGCTGCTGGACACGAGAAAAAATAATATTCATGCGACCATCCAGGATAAATAGCATTCGAGCACCTGGAAGCAGTGACTGGACTGTCATAGTTGAATGGGTGGGAGGGGATGCAGTTTCGGAAACTGTGAGGACAAGAACCGGATCCATGTGCGCTGCAGAGGTGCTGGGAGGGTATACTGTCGAGGAAGGTGGTGCGACAATAGTGAGTATTCTTCCTGTAGCAGTGATGGCCTCGTGTCCTGGGGTCTGGACGTCTATGAAAATGAGGCAGGTTAACGCGATGAAGCAGCATAAAACGCACAATACATGCACCTCTGCAGCTGAGTTAGAAAAAACAACCGTAATATTCCCTCCAAAGTCCACCTCAACCGTGGTTAGCATCATCAACCTCCAGTAAAATATCTAGGCTCGTTCCAAGTACCACAGTCCTTCGAGAGTTTGAAGGTCGTGAAGAACGCGTAAACGAAGTTGCAGTATTCCCCGATCAGAGACGAATGGTCACGGGCTCGAACGACAACACACTTCGTCTCTGGGACTTGAAGACAGGCATTACGTTGAAGAGCTCAGTAGTTGTGGTTTTGACATTGGCGATATCACGGGATAGGCATAGACTGGTGACCAGCCCGTCCGTTAGGCAAGCCGTCGATAGACTTGGCAAATCATAGCAAGCGGTGATCTGATAGAAGAGGTCATTGTCTGGCGCGGAGAGAAACTGGAAAACCACTCACTGGCAACCCATCAAAAGTCAATTTCAAACATCCTCGCTGGACTTTTCTCTGGATGGTGCAGTGGTTCAATGGTTGCCATTGTTTCCTGATAAACCGATGATACTGCAGTGCAAACTAATTTAACCCGGGAAATCCAATCGAGTGCGGTCAACTGCCTTCGGTATTGGTTTCCTTCGTACGAAATATGTCAGGAGTCCCTGTTCCTCTAGCTAAACGTTAAGTTACCCGCGCGGTCCACGCCCACCGCTCAGTCTGTAAATTTCTCACGGTCGGTGCTAGCACATAGGCCCCCTGAAGCTCTTCCCTCAGGTTTGTCCTAACTTCAGATCTTACCTGCCATATCTCGAATTCGAAAACGGACTGATAGGATCTTCTCCATTCTCCCCTGTGAGAATGGTCATCTGATATACTTGGTGGAGCTCAGCCTAGCTCAATCTGACAGTCACTAGTACTTGAATAGACTTGAATGCCAGTCTAACTAACCAAACAGGATGTCACTGACGCTCAGCGCTCAGGTACACCCCCTCTATTAGCGCCGCGACTCGGAATGATGGTAGCGACAATCCATTTAGATACCTACCGCGCACTTCAATATGCTGCAAGACTACGAGTCTTATAGCTATAACTTCCGTTGGGCATGAGTTTGTCAGTATAAAACAAGGATCCGATTCTTAAATACCAGTTGAAGGACCGTCCAGGTCCAAGAGAGGCTGCCCATTGCAAGTAATAAGTTACGACCCTGAAACGGTAACTTTCAGTAGCTACATCATAGCGTTGCAAGTACTACAGCCTGGAACCGAATCATAGTGCTGCGTGCTGCATGTGTACGACATACGGAATCGAGTTTAGTGCGCCGTCGGCTTGAAGAACAGCAGTGCGATGAATGTCAGTGGTCACCATGTACGGGGTCGTTTCTAGTACAAAGCGTCGGTTTGTGATATATCGGGTTTGGGCGCGCTGAAAGGACGAAGCGACCTTGGCACCCCTTAGTACAGTATTGATTACGTAATGACCTCCACCATTGCAGGAACAGTCAGAGCTGCCAAATGACTTGGCTGTGTGATGTCAAAACCACGACCATCCTGGTGGTTACCCTTCCGTGACCGGCATATCAGTTTCATTCCAGTGCTCGCTAGTGAGTCTTGTTCAACTACTGCCATGTCAGAGCTAGTACTAACGGCTTCAAGCCACATAGAGGCTTTCCGAGTCAAACTTGAATGTCCGGATTGCTTCATTTGATATGCAGCATGTGCTTTGGTCCGCCGGAAGTGCGGGCAGAAAACCACCAAGGTTCAAATCTAGCACCATGATGTTCATTCCATTGGTCCTATGAGGCAGATCATCGCATGAACTTTCCAGGTCCCTCAAACTGCAACTATCATCACGGTGCGTCACTTGTTGTCAAGCTTTGGACCGGAGAATTTGATTTAAAGCCACTGACCTGGGCCTATACGAAAGATTGGACACATGATATATTTTTCGCAACGTGCACTGCTTGTCTTTTCGTGCATCCAGAGTAGTTTGTGGCTGCTCTAGCAACCCAAACTTTAACTCCACTGTCCCTCTACTTAAAATGCCACCACAGGCTTGTTGCTCGATCCAAATATAAGAAGTCGGCATACGATTTGTCTATTCCGTTACCTTCGAGTTGACCTCTACGTCTGCTGTCAAGGTTCAGCAGCATACTCTATATCACCCTGCTCATAATGTTTCTCCATATTGTCCTCACTGGCTGTCTTCTTGCCTCGTCACATGCAGCGTCGATAACTTCAAGATCCAACTCTGAACTCTCGCAGCGTTCACCACCTAGCGCGCCCCCGTCCACAATCGGACCTGTCGCTGAACTTACTATCGTTAATAGAGTAATCGCGCCCGACGGCTTTGAACGGTCGTGAGTTAATGCCTACATGTTCTCCTGTATCTCTTTATCTTCTTCCTGTACAGGGCTACACTCGCAGGAGGGATTTTCCCTGGCCCTCTCATCAAGGCGCAAAAGGTTCGTGCGAGCATTTTTTTTATGTCTAAAGCTGAATATTTCGAAGCACGACAACTTTAGCATCAATGTTGTGAACCAATTACAGGACAAAAGCATGCCTTTATCGACGAGCGTAGTATGTACTTTACTCTTTCTACCACTGTAAGGTCTCTGAGACCCTTCAAGCACTGGCATGGTATTCATCAAGAGAAGACGAACTGGGCGGATGGTACCTCGTTCATCACTCAGTG